TGATAATAATAACAACAACAACAACTACTACTACAATAATTACATCAGTGAAAATAACGCACATCATCCCTTTTTATTGGTACACAAAAAACAAAGAAAAGAATTGGTACGCCCCACTTCCGGCGCCGTATAATTAAACGTCATAAACACGTCATAAAGGCTGGGCCATGACCGCGTCGAGATATGCAAAATGTCTTGACGGCGCCATAAAAACACCGGTAGGCCTCTCTGCTTCCTTGTCCATAGGCCTATCCTTGTGGGAAAGTTCATGTGTCCTGTTCGATAGGTCATGAATATGCAAAGTTTAATAAATGGTTGAATAACTATTAATTTGGGATAAAGTGGTTAATGGTTTGTTCTTTTCTATTATCCTTTCTATTCAATTTTCTTTATTGATTTTGTGTTCTTTAAGTTGTTTTGTCGTTTTTTTTAGGGAGACTGAGAGAGAGAGTAAAAATGACAAAGAAAGAAAAGGTAAACGCGAAAGTGGACAAAGAGTACGAGACTACCAAGGATAATCGGAAAAAGGAAAAAATGAAAATGCAAAATGAGGAAAGGGGAACAAAAAGAGAAAGAAAGAGAAAATATACGGGAGAAGAAATGAATACAAGCTGTATGAAATACGATGATAGCCTTCTGGAAACACTGGAAGGATGTCATGTTTATTTATGCATGTGTAAGTATGAGAGACAGACTGAGGGATAGACAGACAAAGAGAGAGAGAGAGAGAGAGAGAGAGAGAGAGAGAGAGAGGGAGAGAGAGAGAGAGAGAGAGAGAGAGAGAGAGAGAGAGAGAGAGAGAGAGAGAGAGAGAGAGAGAGAGAGAAAGAAAGAGAGAGAGAGAGAGAGAGAGAAAGAGAGAGAGAGAGAGAGACTTTTAAGACTTTTTTATCAAGATTAGCTGTCATGCTTCTGTATTTGTGTTTCTTGAGTACGGATGTGTGTGCGTACGTCTTAGCGTGTTTGTATGTATCTTTTGGTTTTGGATTGAGTGCATTTGTTTGTGTGCTTTTTTTTTGTTTTTTTTTTGGGGGGGGGGCTATGAGAGGCAGATCTAGATGCGCAAAGTTAGAAAGAAGGAACAAAAAGATAGACAGGTATATAGGTAGGTAAGGAGATATAGATAGAGAGAGAGAGAGAGTGAAAGAGAGAGAGAGAGAGGGGGGGGGGGGTTGGCAGAAAGACAAACAAACAGACAGAGATGGGGCAAGAGAAAGAAAAATGATACATTATTTACGATATAAAACAACTGTAAATTATATCCTTTTGTATTTCATAGTTACTTAGAAATAGGTGATCACCCTTAGTTTATTCGTCTGAAATGTAACTAATTTCACAATCATATAACTTTACAAAACAATTTCTGTGAATAATGATACCTATAAAACAACATATAACAGTGACATTATCTTATCTCTATTTACATTAAAAATAGAGAAGTAGGTAATAATAATAGAAGATGGGAAACGAAACGAGATATTTAAGGGAGGCCGATGACAATGATTAGACATCATTTCCTTCGAATGACGGATATCCAGTTGACATTTTTCAATCTGTCTTCCTCAGTTGGCCTTCCGGTGAGCATGTCGTCCTCGTTTTCTATTCGTCAATCTCCCGTTTTCTTCCGGTCTTTCCTTTTACTTTGTTTTATTTCTTGTACGTCTGTCTTTCCTGTTTCTTTGTTTGGGGGTATCTTATGTCCTTCGTTTTGTTTCCGGCTAAATGCGTAAGTTGAGTTTTAAGAAAAAAGTTGTAAGAGGTGTTTATTGAAGGTTAATGTGCGGTTTTTGTGACGAGGAAAATGGCGTAGCGAGCATGACCTGACCTGACCTTTCATTTGGTTAAACTGAATACCCATTTCCTGTCCGTTTCTCTCTAACAACCTGCCCACTTGAGCCGCACTTGCTCTGTCGTTCACAAATTAAGCCATTGACCATATTTTCTTTAATCTATACAACAAGAAGACGACGATAATTTATGTACGCTTTTATATCAAATAACGAAGGTCATATATGCTTCTTAGGAGATCTATTATCATTATTTCAAAATAATGAAATTTTCGATTACATGAGACTCAAACTACTTATTGTGGCATTATGCAATTATTCTTTATCAGTTTGCTATTATTATTGTGATAGTGATGTTGTTTGTGGCCGCGATGATATGATTATTATATCATATACCTCTGATCATAAATCAGGAATGTCCGAATCAATCAGGGAGAAACTTTCTGATATTATATTTCATATTGATTTACTGCAGATAATGCTGAAATAGCCAAAATTGTTTTGTATGTTTTAATGATGACAGTCATCATTAATTCACTAGATGTGAAATATCACTGGATTGGATGTAGGTAATGTTTGTTATATGCTATTAGTGTAAACAACGAGAGAAGTTTGCATATTTAATTTTCAAATATCATTCCTACTGTATTCATTTAAATGAAATATTCAATCAAAAGTATCATTTGAATGTGATGGGAAACTACAAACACAGATTTGTTTCAGTGACATATTTTATTTATAAAAATAAATATATATTTTTCTGTACATATATACAACAAATGACTCATAAATAACAAAACGCTTCGCCGGTTGTACTGTCAACAGGCAACCGTATGCTAAGTTTGGCACAAATATAAGGACAAAATAACCATCTAGTCCGCGTACAGGTGTGACAGCTCTAGGAAGCAGAGTGATAAGAAGCGAAATGCTATCGACTCGAGATGGATCACCTTCTCCCGTTCTTCTTCAGGGACTAAAACCTTCTACAGGGGCCGTAGGAGGCTGTCACCGTCGTTCCTGCTGATCCTTCAAATCAATGTAACTATGGTAGACTTGGGTCACTATCTGACGCAGCTGGAGGCTTCGAGAGGCATTACGTTCTAATTTTTGGTATAGGAAAGCGCAGCCGTTTCTCTCTCATATATAGGCTGAGGTTGGTGATGTGTTCTGGTGAAGGCACATGTTCCCATCGCCCGCTGACTTGCGCCACAGCGACACATCACGCTATAGCAAGATTATACATACACGCACTCACACGCACACACACCTGCCCTCCCCCAGTACACCCTTCTAGTGACTAATGGGTGTTGGTGTTGGGCAGATCGAGCGGTCTCGAAGGAGGGTAATCCGCTCGCACTTGACGGCATCCTCGTGACTGCAGGGTGTTGAAGGTGAGGAAGCCCCCGCGGCAGTCTGCAGGAGCTACTTGAGCATACAGGTCGTAGGTATGCTCCGATGTGGCGTCGCAGGGTCTCTCGTACTGCTCCGACCCGCCCATATTGTCGTATTGAGAGGAGGCTGCTGCGTAGACCATGTGCAGACCGGGCAGATCGCGCCCTCCTGCCGAGACGGGCATGTCGTGAGGGGGAGGGCACGCGGGTGGGGGAGGGAGGATGGCGGCCCAGTTCACCTGTACGCCCGAGTCCTCGCTACGGTGCCTCCAGGTTGGTCCGTGTGCCAGGCGCGGAGTGCCAGGAGCCAGCAGAGCCGTCGTGGCGTAGGGCTCGGCCGTCTCGTTGGCTCTCTGTATTCTTGGCTCTGCGTATTCGTTGACGAGCTGCTCGGGCCGAAGGAGTCGCGTGGAGGATAAGCTTGATTCCTTGTCACTATCTGAAGGTCGCCATAGTTTCTGCTCGCCATACATGTTGACGGAGTGGTGGGTGGGGTAGAGGGACGGGTCCTGATACAGGGCGGGCGCGTGGGGCTGAGCCGGGGGCGTCGTCTTCCCACGCAGACGTCTGACGTAGATCAGAGTGGCAGCAGACAAGAGCAGCACCACAGGGATCAGCAGGTACACCAGCCACGCAGGCTCTGGCGGGGCGTATATGACGGAGCCATCGTCTTTCCGATTCTGGTGGCTGGTCTGGGCACCTGAGGGCCCGACGTCCATCAGTACGGGGGCGGTGAAGGGACCCGGGCCAGCCTCTGTGAGGGCAGCAACACGGACGGTGTACAGACGCCCTGTCATCAGACCATCGGCCTCTAGCCATGGGTGGGTCACGGTCTCGGTGGTGTGGGTCCCGTTGTGGCTGAGGGTGACCTGGTAGCCCACCACCTCCCCGCGGGCTTCCTCGGGGGTCAGGGTTGACCACTTGATGAGGACGGTTCCTTCCTCGCGAAGCGTCACTCGAACGTCAGATGGAGCCACCAAGGGTACTGGGAAGGAGAAAACAATTCAGTTAATAATCTGTGCGGCAGTGTTATGCCTTTCTTCAGTTTATAGAGGTATGAATATGCATATGTCTGTCAATTTATCTATGTGTGTGTAAATATGAGGAGAGAGAACTCACCATCTTGTGGAGTCCGCAGCGACATGGAGTTGGATGGCGTGCCCTCGACGCTGTGCCAGAAGGGGACGAGGAAGAAGGTGTACTGGGAGTTGGCCTTTAGTTCATGCAGGAGGTGTGAGGACGACGACGTGCCAAGCACGGTGGCCACCTGCACGGCGCCCGAATCACTGACAGCGTACACGAGCACGCCCTCGACGGCCTCGTCCGCCAGCGCGAGGAACTCCCAGCCGAGAAGGACGCTGTCGGGGGCGGTGACTGTGGCGTCGGTGAGCGTGACAGCGGGGCGCGAGAGGCGGCGGCGGACGTGACGGACCTCGTCCTCCGTGAGACTCGGGTCGCGGGGAGAGCGGGTCGTGACCGGGTCGGACCAGGGACTCGGGAACGACGCCCCTCGCGAGTCGACGGCACGGACCAGGAAGGTGTAGGTGTGGCCAGGCGTCAGCCCGCCCACCACACACGACTCCTGCGAGATGAGGGCGTCCGCCACCCGCCACTCCTCCCAGCCCTGGCGCCAGAACTCCACCGTGTACGTCTGGTCGGAACCTCCGCCCATCTGGGAGTTGGGCAGCCAGCTCAGGTGCACAGCGGTCTGGTTGACGGCCATGAGGCGCGGCTTGGACGGCGGCGCCGGCAGCAGGAACGAAGCCGCGTCTTGGGCGCCGTCCTCCACCCGCAGGACCGCCGCTTGCTCCACGCTGCCGGTGTCAGCGCTGATGTGGCAGCTGTAGATGCCGGCGTCGTCGACCCGGATGTCCTTCAGGATGAGGGCGCCGTTGGCCGGGAGGGACACTCGGCCGCCGTTGCCGCCCTCGCTGAGCTCTCGGGCTGGGAGATGGGCGGCCGGGCGGTACTTCCAGGAGATGGAGGGCGAGGCGGCCTCACTCACGGCCTCGCAGGGGAAGGTGGCTACACTACCTGGGGATACTGTGAGATCCTGAGGTCCTACGCCGATCACAGGAGGGGGATACGCCGCCACGACCACCACCTCCGAGCGAGCGCTGACGCCACCGCCGCTGCTAACGCCCCAACAGTAGTAGGCTCCGCTGTCGTGCGTGCTGACGTCACCGAGCAGGAGAGTCTGGCCTTCGTCGGCGACGGAGGCGTGGCCGCTGCTCTGTCCCGCGGCGAGCAGGGCAGTCCTGTCCTGGGTGGGAAGCCGCCACAGCAGGAGAGGCTTGGGGTCGCCCTCGACCTTGCACGAGAGCCTGGCGCTCTGGCCAGCCACCACCTGAATATCCTGAGGCCGCTGAGCGAACTCGGGGGCGTCGATCACGGTGAGAGTGGCCCTGGCCGCGGCGATCCCTGCCTCGCTCTCCACCTCGCACACGTACACGCCGGAGTCGGCAGCCGCCACGTGGTCCAGCACCAGCCGCTGGTCCTCGATCATAGCGCGGCCGAGCGGCATCTTGCCGTCGAGGCGCCGCCAGGTGACCGTGGGCGCGGGCGAGCCTCGGGCGCGGCACGCCAGCTCCACCACCACGCCCGACGCGACGGTCACGTTCGCCGGACGCTCCTCGAACCAGGGCGGCGCTGCGGGGAAGAGAACTCCGTTAGGGCTGAGGACGAAGGCTTTAGGGGGAATTCATACTGCTCACAGGCTATTCAATAGGATCTCAGGGAACGGGAAGGACACTTACTCATTATGGTGAGCTTGGTGGGCGTTGACTCCCGGGCGCCCGCGGCGTTGCGGGCGCGACACACGTAGGAGGCCGAGTCCTCCTCGACGGCCTGACTGATGACAAGATCGCCCGCTTGTGTCACGGAGATCCGGCTGGAGTTGGTGACCTCGTGGGAGTCCCTGAGCCAGGTGACTTCGGGGGGCGGAGAGCCCTTGGGCGGGCGGCACGGCAGGGCCAGAGAGTCCCCGACGCGCGCCCTCACCACGGGGTCGGCCTGGCTCTGGAAGTCGTAGGCGAGCGTGGCCACGGTGAGGGTGGCGTTGTGGGAGCGCGTGGCGCCGTGGCTGTTGGAGGCCACGCACCAGTAGGTTCCGGCGTCGCTGTCCCTCTTGGAGGTGGCCACGCGCAGGAAGAACAGCGAGCCCGAGGGCAGGAGGACGCGGTGGGAGCGCGGGTCCTCCGACGCCGTCGTCACCTTCTCGCCGTCGCGGTACCAGCGGATGCGGGTGGCACCGGAGGCGGCGCAGTTGAGGGTGGCGGGGTCGTTGCGCCGCGCCACCACGTTGCTCGGGTGCTCCTTGATCACCGGTGGGCTTCCTGAAGGTAAACAACGAAAAGACATTCTATTAAAAAAAAAAAACTCATTGGAATACTGAAGCTACCTTCTACTCCTATCCAAAGGAGACTTACCGTCCGTTAAGCATTCGTAATGTGCGTGGACATCTATAACCCAAACCATGTGTGGTTGCAATCTGAACGTCTACTTTACTGGCAAACAGAAAAATGAACGTGGCAAATAATACCATAATTATAGGGTCAAATGCGCACTGTGTCCCAATAATAAATTGTTTTTTTCGGTTTTATTTGGTTTGAACACGACTCCACCTCCATTCGCGTACACGAGTGCCGAGTCTTAATTTACAGATGTAGCGCTTAACACTTCGTATATCACCCATTCCTGTTCCCACGCATTGTCTACTTTCCATTACAGTTCGCTTTTATCCACATTGGTTCGTGTAATCAAGACAGCAAGAGCATTCACAAAGAGAGGGGAAGGGAAGGGAAAAGAAAAGAAAAGAGAAGAGAAGAGAAGAGAAGAGAAGAGAAGAGAAGAGAAGAGAAGAGAAGAAAGAACAAAAGGAAAACCAAAAGTAAAGTGAAATGAAGCAAAAAAAAGAAGAAAAAGGAAGAGAAGAAAAGTAGAGCCAAGAAGAGAAGAGCAAAATATAAAATAAGATACCTACGACTAAACTAACACTCGATCAGAAAACTATAAAAAAAAAAATGAATATAAATAGCGCTGCCATATATAACCGATAAAGCGATTCAAATAACCCCGTTGAAAAAAAACAAATACAATACATTCCCTAAGTGGACGCCATAATACCTTCAGTCTCCTATCAGATAAGACTAGGCCTAGGGACCGACACAGCACGCACAATACCGATACGACCATGTCAGAAGCTCTTATCAGTAGCGCCACACTTTCCTATGAAGGGCACTTACCCGGCTTTATTTGACAGGTAAGTGGTAAAGGTATAAGTGGTACAGGCAGGTTATAGATGTTCTCAATATATATATATAAATGTAGACAAAGGAACTCCTAACTTATAGGGAAATGAATAGAGATAAATCAATAAACACGGATACAAGCACGCACGCAGTCACAATGGTGGTGGCGATGATGATAACAGCAATAATGATAACAATAATAATGATGATGATTATCATGATGATAATAACAGTGATAACAATTCTAATAAAACTAATAACAATAACAGTTATATTAATAATAATAATAATAGTAATAATAATAACAATAATAATAATAAATTATTATTATTATTATTATTATTATTATTATTATTATTAATATAACTATAATAATAATAATAATAATAATAATAATAATAATAATAATAATACCAATGACAATAACTATAGCAGTAACAATAACAATAACAATAACAACAACAACAATAATAATGATGATAATAATAATAATAATAATAATAATAATAATAATAATAATAACAATAATAATAATAATAATAACAACAATGACAATAATAATGATAAAGTGGGGGAAATAGATTAGATTAATAACATTGCACGGAGATCGCTTGCATTCAAGGTTAAGTAATTGGAAACTGGTTCTTTTAACGGCGTTTTATTGTGCTTTAAACTTAATGCTTTTAAAAGTTTTAATGATATAACTTTCCTGCTTCTTCTGGAGTAAACGAACTTTTTTCTCTTTTCTTTTTTTTTTTTCATTTTTCACCCCTTTTTTTTATTTTGCATTAATTTTGGATCTCTTGTGGATTATGAGATGATTACTGCGGCCTGGTTTGAGTCCTCGACTTTCATATTAATTCTAAAGCACATTGTATAAATAAAGTATGGTGTAGCAAGTAATTAAACTAAGGAAAAAAAGGTGAGGGAGAGGGAGAGGGAGAGGGAGAGGGAGAGGGGGTAGGGAGAGGGAGAGGGAGAGGGAGAGGGAGAGGGAGAGGGAGAGGGAGAGGGAAAGGAAAGGGCAGTGGGAGGGGGAGGGGGAGAGAGGGGGAGGGGAGGGGGAGAGGGAGGGGAGAGGGAGGGGAGAGGGAGGGGGAGGGGGAAAAGGAGAGGGAGAATGTGATGGAGATGGAAGGGGAGAGGGAGGGGGAGTGGGAGAGGGGGAGGAGGAGGAGGAGGAGGAGGAGGAGGAGGAGGAGGAGGAGGAGGAAGAGAGAGGGGGGAGGGGGAGAAAGAGAAGGAGGAGGAGGAGGAAGAGAAAAAGGTGAAGGAGAAGGAGTAGGAAGAGGAGCAGAGAAGAATTGATATAGAGAAGGAAAAGGAGAGGGGGCGGGGGAAGAGGAGAAAGGGAGGGAGGTTGAGGGACAGACAGACAGACGTACAGACAAAGGGGAAGGGGCAGGCCTAACACTACAGTAACCTTTCCTATGCTGGAACCCACTGACACTAAAAGGGGGACACAGCTGCTCTGTGAGGACACCTTAAGAGAAACGGGAAATATCACCAGCATTGTTACGAGTTTTTTTGACTGAACCCTCTTTCCTCATTACGCGATGTCGACGTTGATTAACTTAAGCTAATCACCGTGGTTGGTCCTCATGTTGCACAGTAATTGCGTTAGATAATCCACGGATAAAAACATAATTAGCCAAGATGATGAGGGATGGGCTCAGTGACCCCCCCCACCCCTATCCTCCCTTCCCTTCCCTTCCCTTCCCCACCCCTCCACCCCACCCCCACCCCCACCGCTATCCATCCGCAACAGCCTTCTTCCAAGGGGGAAATGCTAAGTTAATTGTACTGTAAATATTCTAATTGCACTCATCAATAGCCTGGTTACAGCATAAACCGACCAGTCTTTCTCTTCCTCTGCAACCACCTGAGTCTGTACCAGTCTCGATGCGACCACGGACACGCCAGGTAGCAATCCGCTGTATAATTTAGTTTACCTTTCACGTCATTAGGGGTGAATATTTCATCGTTCGACACCGTAGGCCTATCCGAGGTGTCGTCTCTCGCATTAGCGTGGTCGACGAAGCGAACCAAACTATCGATGTAGTGTGGTAACCTTATTACATGCTTGGATCTGCGTCAACGGATCGACAAGCTGGCGAGTTTTATCCATCTGTAATATATTTCCAAGCTCTGATATTCTGTCATGGAGCGAAAAAAATATAACTTTTTATTATCGAATTTTGAAGTCGCCGATAGGAAAAGGTGGAGTCCTTCACCCACGCAACAAGCGGCGAGGTTGAACTGCCTGGCAACACAAGAACAATCGATAGCGTTATTTACCCGTTGTTTGCCTCCTTGCTCGTTACGATATGCAGGCTATAAATAGAAAATTAAGTTCGCAACATTCAGAAAATTGGTGGCAACTTCTGCACAAAGGCCGACATACAAAGGCAAGCCTGCATCGTGGGTATTAAAGTTAAAAATGAAAGAGTGAAACAGACAGGGAGGTACGATAGACAGGGTCGGAAAAAAACGCGGGACTTTTTGACAGGGGGACGGAGTGGAGAACGAGAGAATATGGAAAGAGAGATTGATGGAAGGGTGCGTGGTTTAAAGGGGAAAAGGGGAAAGCGTCAGCGGAGAGAAAAAGGTGGTCGGGGGAGAGGGGAAGGGAGAAAGGGGAAGATTTCACCATCTCTTCGCCGCGCAGAGTACCTCCGACAACCCGCCGCCTCGACAGACATCCATCAGCAACTATTGGTTTTGCGGAGTATTCTGGTCGACCATTCCATGCCTCGCACGTCAGGGCCACATATCAGCGTATTTACGGCTTGGCACACTATATTTTGGCTTTAGATTGCATACTTTGAGTGAAATATTAATTCCTCCGGTGTTAAACAACCGGCGAGTTCCGTGCAGTGGCCGCTTGCAATAACAGGGTGGGTGGGCCACTTCAGGAATTTTCAGTGGAAATCCATATTGCACGCCCCTTTTCTTTCGCCTGCACGCCGCCTTGTGCCGGGGAAGTCCGAAGGGTACGAGCTGGGGCGAGTCTTTCGAACTGGCTCTGGCCCTGACGCCTCGGGCTGCTCATGGTTGCGGGCTATATGAATATTTGCCTTTGTGTGGGTGCGTGCGTGCGTGCGTGTGTGTGTGTGTGTGTGTGTGTGTGTGTGTGTGTGTGTGTGTGTGTGTGTGTGTGTGTGTGTGTGTGTGTGTGTGTGTGTGTGCATGCGTGCGTGCGTGTGCGTGTGCTTGTGGGTATGTTATGTTGTATTGTACTATGAAAAATTATGATCTCTCCTTGGAAGTGAATATAAAGCGCGACTTGCTGCGCAAAATTATATTTCGCGCTGTAAAATCCACAATGTAAAGCCTTTTAAACTGCCGTCAAGAGATTGTCTTACGCCATAAATACCAAAAGGTGACCAACGCCTGATGAAGCCGTCCCAGATATTCGCAAGGAGCGACAATTTGGCCAAGAATTCGGTCCTTGCAAGAAATCCCAGCATGGCAAATGACAGGGTCGCCCCGCTCGCAATCACAAACATCAGCCCACATAAATCCCGTCACAAGCATCGCCTCTTTGTTGTTTCAGCACAGGTTGTACTTAGTGCTCCTTGGGCAGGCTGATCTCCCCTTGATACCATCGCCGTAGTTATTGGCCCGAGAGACCACGTAATAACAGGTACAGCAAGGGCGGACGGTAAGGCTATCCGGACAAGCAAAAATCCATGTATTGATCACTATTGGGATTTCGTCGATAGGTGAGGTTATACGCGGAAAATAGCTTCATTTTCCCACTATCAGGCACCTGGCTCTTAGACTGTCCCCTCCTCCTTCCTGATATGGCTACTTCCGAATGTTTTCGAATATGACCCTTACGCTACACAGCGAGAAAAAAATCGATAGCGAATGTCTCCCCGTTCCACAGCTAGATTCTGAGACCCCAAAGCAAATAACAATATCCGCAGAACCTTCTCCAGAACTACCCACCACCTCGGCCACTTGGACATCCGGTCTGGCGCACATACGCACATCCTACACGAATAAAAGAAGACTCTTTTGTTCCGTGTGTGCGACGCGTGTATCGCCGCCCCCGCTGCTCCTCGGGCGATCCCAGGTAGAAGCATACTAGCACCTGGTCGATCCCACGCCTAATGGCCCCGCCGACACCACCAAGGGGACTGGATCTTGATGGGTCACGCCGTAGTTAAACAAATGGCTGAGCGACATAATGCATGGGAACCTCGTAGTGTCCGGCGTCTAGGAAGGCCCCGGCGCGAAAGGAAACCACTTGAACGCCACTTTAAATGCACGTACGCACGCGCGCCTCCTTCCTACCTGCACAGACGCCCGCAGAAAAAAAGAGAAGAAAAAGACAATAATCCTCTCTCGCACGGATGGTCCACCTAAAGGAATAAAACATTCACACACAGGAATGCGCACGGCTGGAACAACGGATGCCATCATTCAAGGCACTGACTCGCCTAATCAATGACATGACTGTAGTGCCTGCAGCTCCTCGGTTCCCCTGCCCGTCCTCCCTCCCCACACCACTACCCAGTCCCCTCTCCCGATAACCCCTATCCCCTCCTCTCCTCTCCTCCTACCCCTACCCCCTCATCTCCTCTCCCCCTACCCCCCTCCCCTCCCCTTCCCCTACACCCATGACCGCCATGAACCGAGACGATCCGACGATAAAGGTAGATAAGGGAAATGCCGACCTCTTTCATACACAACGGAGGGGAAAGCAAATCAAAATGACTCTTTAAGAGGCAGTTGAACACCTGCTGCCTAGACACAATACTCAAGAGGCAAGAAAGTGGGAGAGGAGAATGGAAAGAGGGGGGAGGGGGAGGGTAAGGGGAGGGAGAAATGAAGGCAGGAGAAGGGGCCGAGGAAGGCGGAGGGGGAGGGAGGGAAGTTAGGAGAAACGAGGATGGAGAAGGGGGAGGACTAGGGGAGGGAATGAGAAAAGGGTGAAAGGGGGGGGGAGGGCTGGGGAAGGCTGGAGATGCGAGGAAAGGGGAAGAGCCGGTATTGCCCGGGTAGAGAGGCTAAAAGGGAAGGAAATGTCGCCGGTGTTTCGCCCAAAAGATCTTAAGGTGGAAATTGTAGTCCCGAATTGCCGACGCGCTCGAGGGCGACCAGACGGACACTGAACCAAATGCTGTTATTAATGTGGGAAGGAAGAAGCCGAGAGGGAGGAGGAAAGGGTGTGAAAGGAAATGGAAGAAGGGGATGAGGGAGAGTAATGAATGGGAAAGAGGGAGCAAGAGAGTGAGGGGGAAAGGAGGAGGTGAGACGACGACGCCACACACACACAACACAGAGGGAAAGGAGAGAGGAAAAGAGGGAGGTAGACGAGGAGAGAGAGAGGATGAGAGAGCGCGGAAGACGATGGGGACCGAGAGGAGGATGCTTTTGGTGAGCTCGACTGGTGGATGGGGGATGGGAGAGAGGATGAAGGAATGTATTCTGAACGCTGAGGGGAGAGAGCAGAGAGATTCGAGAAGGAGGGGAGAGACGAGAGTGAAGAGGGAGGGGGAGAGGGGGGGGAGGAGGAGAGAGGAGAGAGGAGGAGAGAGAGGAAAAAGAGAGAGAGGAGAAGAGGAGAGAGAGAGGAGAGAGAGAGAGAGAGAGAGAGAGAGAGAGAGAGAGAGAGAGAGAGAGAGAGAGAGAGAGAGAGAGAGAGAGAGAGAGAGAGAGAAGAAAAAAAAAAAAAAAGGAAAAGAAGAATTAAGAGAAAAAAAATAATAAAGACATAATCGAAGAAAAGCAAAAAACAAAATAAACAACCACAAAGACACCCTCCCCTTCAAAAAGAGGAAACGGGTCACGAGAAAGTGCAAAGGAAGACCGGGTCCTGCCCACGGCGATGCCCGGCGCTGCATCAAGGGGCTAATCACAAGTATCGAAGCAACGCGTGATTTAGCATAGGAAGAAGCGACTCGGGTTACCATCGCCGTGTTATCAATGACCCAAGGAAAGGAAGAAGGGAAGGGAGAGGGGGGGAGGGGAAGGGGGGTGGGAAGGAAGAGAAGGGAAGGGGGAGGGAGGGAGGAGAAAGGGGGAGGGAAGGGAAGGGGGAGGGAGGGAGGAGAAGGGGGGAGGGAAGGGAAGGGGGGAGGGAAGGAAGAGAAGGGAAGGGGGAGGGAGGGAGGAGTAGGGGGGAAGGAAGGGAAGGGGGAGGGAAGGAACACGAGGAAGGAGGATGAGGAAGAAATAATTGAAAAATTACGTGGTGATGGACTACCTACCCTGTTTCTATTTCGAAAGGCTGATTAATGTCGGAATTATTGGTGACTCATTACGAATAAAGATTAGAATTTCCATTAATGAACATCTAAAATTATAAAATCTGATTCAACTGTCCGAAATATCTATAACACCTTAAACGCATCATTACAGATTGCATTAACTTCATCAAAATCTTAAAATCATGACACTGATTAAATTTCATCTTGATATAGTCTGGTTTTCAAACTAACCCTACACGTTCCGCTGATGTATAGCAAATACCTGCGTAACCGACCTGAGGAATCAATATCACGTCCCTATATGTCCAGGAAACCCGACGACACAAGAGGAACCGATACACGTTATACTCCGGCGAGAGACAAACCTGTTTAATGAAATTCAGACTTCGACATTGCAAACTGCAGGTCCTGTTGCAACGGACGTGCCCCCACACCCCTCCTCTCCCTGCCTCTGCCCCTTCCGCCCACCGAGAGGTTATCTGAGGATGCTGGGACCTACAAGCCCCCAGGCACTCGACAGGCGTCCGCTTATCAGCCTCCGGACTGGCTACCTGTCCTGGCCGCCGATAAGGGCTCTGTGCTTCTGAAGGGACTGGGACGCCCTCTGGTCGGGGCTGCGTAATGCTGGGCGAAATCTCGGGATAAAAGGTCTCTTTCTGCTTGTCCTTTCTATTTTGCTCCATTTCTTTCTCTCTCTCATTTACTTTCTTTCCCATTTTTTCTCTTTCTTCCTTCCTTCTTTATTTATTTCTTTATTTATTTACTTATTTATTAATTCATATATTCACTTCTTTATTTGTTTCATAGAGGCATCCCGACGTCCAACAGTTATCAAAATTGCAGCTGAAAGTCAATAAGAAAATGTTTACGCTTTGTAATCGATCTTCAAATGGTGGAGTGAAATACGCGTAGATTTACGACGGAGAAACTTCATCTCGGTGCCATTTTCTTTTCACTTTTTTCTTGACATAATTATAAAAATATGTCAAATATCCCCAACAATTGCCATATAACCAAATATCAAATAACAAATGAACATAAAAGAACACTTAAGTATATTTACTAACAGTTTATTACGCACTGCGAACTTATTGATACAACCGCCGGAAAAGTGACGCAGTTCCATGCTTTCAGAATATCGTATACGAAGTCACTTAAACCAGCTAGAAATTCACCAATGATAAAATAAATCACCATAATTGATTGATCAAATCTATTACAATTGTAATTTGTTACACAGGCGATTTAGAACTCCTTAATTCCTTCTTCCAAAATCTTAATTACTCTCTCATATCACGCAATCATTTATATCCTCCATGCAAATTAACCACATCCCTTAATTTCTCACTTA